CATTTTTAATTTTTTTTTCAAAGAACAGAACCTATAAAGAGGCGTAGGTCAGACAAGTTCACTTTTGCTTGTTAATATGTGACTCGATCACTTATCCACCACACACATGAATTTCTCTCTGTATACCTTGTATAAATTCACCATTCTCATGCACCTTTGTTTAAATTAAATGTACTTGAACCCTCCATTGTACCACCACACATGTCAGCCTATCTTTTATTTTTTTTGATTCATCGGTTTTTTGTAAGTATTTGATTCATTGATTGTTAACTGTGGAACTTCACTTATATCAATAAAATATTGTTAACTACAACACGCCTAGCATCCCTATCTTTTCTTATCCTTCATTATCAGTAATGGAAGACATGAATTATTATACATAGCTTAGTTTTTTCTGTAAGTATTTTATATAGCTTTATTGCTTACCTGGGAATTATACATTTTTCTATTTTGGGACAGATGGATCCAACAACTGGGCACAAATCTGCTCCCAACAACTGCACTGGACCTCTGTAGCATAGTACACAAGGTTCAAAGTAATGATACAAAATGCCCCACATTGGGTGTATTGTATAGTATCAGCAGGTCCTTGAAACGCCTTTTTTAAGGCTTTTCACATAATGAATGTTTTTAAACTTTAAACATCATTAAAACCAACCCCAAGGGCAATTTTTTGAAAAAAAACTAAAAAAAGGACAAGCACAAGGTTCAAAGTGTCGATACACCCCTTCCGGAGTATCGGGGTGTATCAATACTTTGAACCTTGATATTACAATATCATATTGTCATAGAAGGATAAAATGGTTTGGAAATTCAAGGCTCCAATACCTTGTTCAAGCATCAGGGGAAAAAGAAAAGGAAAGAAAGCTGATATAAGCAAGGAAAAGGTTTGGGTAAGGAAAAGGAACCATCCAAATTTTCTTGCATGATTTCATTATTCATGAGAAATTGTTTATGTATAGATGACTGAGTCACCATTTATGTCTCTTATTGACTTTGATCAAATCAAAATGGCCATTGATGCTAGCAATAGGATATCTAGCCTTAATAATCATGCATTTATTCTAGAACATATAGGTTCTAGCCTTGCTGTCAACATTTTGTTATCTGCTTTAACAGGTGCAAAAGGTTGAACAAAACTTGTTCTGTCATTTTTTCCCTTTCTTCTATTCTTTTTTCTATCAAACAAAGAAGTCCATCAAATTGGATTGAACTCATAGCCTACTTAGAAGGTGTTCATGTTACGATTTTGAGGTTGTGAGCTGATCACCCACTTCCAACCAATTAGAAATAGTTAAAATCATTATATACTAGACTTGGAAGTGGAGGACGGTTTAGTAGAACTGATGCCAAGTTACGGAAGAGAAATTCTAAACCCCCTCCTAAATTAGGCAATGTACTTTACCAGCGTCAACATGGTTTCCCATTAATAAATATTTTACTTGTCTTACTATTGAATTGAGGATGTTCTATCCTGGTTTATTGGCTTTCAGCTTCTATTTCCCTCCTTACTAAAGAATCTTTCTTTGCAGCTTCACTTCAAAGCGGTTTATGCACTAATGCTTTCATCATTTTGTGGTTTTGGGATTGCCATGAGCCTTAACACATTGTATCTTCATTTATTTGCTAGGCAAGTTCAGGTTACACAGACTGAAGTCAACTCTAATCCAGTCTGATAATAGAATTGGATTGTAGCATCTTATGTTTGTTATACATAGATCATATATTGTATATAGCAGTGGTACTGTGGCAGTTAAGTCCTGATTAGGACTTGATCTTCATCATCCACCAACTTATCCCTCACAAGCTCTTTTGCTATATTTTCTTGCATCTGTGCTCTTGTTTATGCCTTCTGATAATAGAATTGGATTTTAGCATCTTATGTTTGTTATACATAGATCATATATTGTATATAGCAGTGGTACTGTGGCAGTTAAGTCCTGATTAGGACTAGATCTTCATCATCCACTAACTTATCCCTCACAAGCTCTTCTGCTATATTTTCTTGCATCTGTGCTCTTGTTTATGCCTTGCTGTTTTGAAAATCTAAGATTTTTTTTAGTGTCTTTTATGCGTTTTGTTGGGGGGGGGGGGTGGACTTGTTGCTTTGCTGGTGTTAACTTACTCCAACATCACTTTTTAAAGTTGGGCTACAATTCTTTACGCTACGTTTGGAAACGATGCAAATATGCTTGTTGCTTTGCTGGTGTTAAATTACTCTAACATCACTTTTTAAAATTGGGTTAGAATTCTTTAGGCTGCGTTTGGAAATGGTGCAAATATGTAGAGTGTAAAACAGTTCATATAAATTGCAAAGTTGGGTTAGTTTTGCACTGGCAAATTTAACTTTTTAGTTCTTATCAAATAGATTAGTTGTAATAGATGCAAACACAAATTCCAACAAAGTATATGCCTGTTTTTTAATCAAAAGACTACTTGAATGCAAATTTACTTTTTTTTTTTTATTGATGTACGTTTACATCTTATTATCAATCTAAATATGCATTGCAAAATGTGTTTTCTGTCATTTATCAATGCATACATGTAATGTTGCCGAACACAGTCAAAAGTGAATGAGAGTGCAAATTTACCCTGAACCGGGATTTATACTCTATTTGCATCATTTTCAAATGCAGTCTTAGTGAAAGAAATGGGCTAGGAGCTTAGGAATCTGTTGTTTATTTATTTTGATAGATATAAAGGATTCTTCTATTGAAATCCAACAATATCGAATGAGTCGCCCAATCTTCCAGGTTCATCTTTGGACAACCTCAGCTGCCCCTCCACCGCCTCCCAAATGTCTTATTATGGCTAAACCTTTGGGAGGGAACATGCCTGCATGCAATATGCATTGAGTGAGCTGGAGGAAAGCAAATTTTAGATAATTTTATAGTGATGATTGCCATTAGACCTGTTCATGGGCCACAGGCCGGCCTGGCCCGGCCCCCGGATGGGCTTGAACACGCAAATGAGCCTGCGGGCTTGACTTCTGGCCAAAATGCCCGGCCAGCAATAAATATGAGTCGGGCTCAGGATTTGTCAAAATAGCCCGGCCTAACCTATAGACTAAACCCAAAAACCCTAATATCCTAACCTTTCTCATTTATCTCTTTCCACATTTCTTGTTAGTCAAATTGTTTAGTGCCGAACTTCTGTTCTCTTCACATCTTTCTCACACTCTCAAACAGCCGTAGAACCGGCGAACATTCACCGGTGCAACAACTCCGGTAGATTGACGGTGAGTCCTCTCTTTCTCTCTCACACACACACAAACGCGAAATCAACACTGGCGGTGAGTTCTTTCTTTTGTTAGGTCAGACTTCGGGCTTTTTATTAGGGTCGGGCTCGGGCTCAAGCCTAACAAAATCATGTTTATGAAGAATAAAAGCCCAGCCCGGCCCATAAACAGGTCTAATTGCAATTAATTGTCATCGTCAACTAAATAGGAGACATTTTCCCACCAGCTATTTGAGAACTGAGATTTGGCATCTCTCTACCGCAATTTATGTCATCCAAAAGGACCGATTAGGCTGTCCTTCAATCCATGCATTAAAGGTGCCATTTGCTTGTCAATTCTTGAATTGGAGCCTGACTTAACGCTGTCCCCGTCCCCTTAACAGTATTAACTTACATCTTGGTGTCATTTTTTCCTTTTTTTGGTAAACTGCGAAAGTCCTTGTACTTTTGTACATGCCAAAAGTTTTTAGGCAAAACCCATCGTGAATCCAGTTAAATATGGCTTTAAGTACTTGTATGTTTAGTGTGTTATATTTTGTGAAAAGTAAAATTTTAGGTAATTGATTGAATTTTGAATTTAACGTGCAACTAATATTAATAAATTTACTGTAGTTGAAGTGTTGAATTAAGTTTTCTATCACAATTAACATGTCAGCAGTTTTCATTTGGGTTGTAAACAAATTGCGTTGAGCACAAAGACATTACTCTAATTGGGGAGGCAAGGGATTAAGGGTTGACTTTAGCTGCTGGGGGCCAAGTTTCTGGATTAAGTACATTCACGGCAGTTCACCAATTCATGGGCATACTTTTATTTTTATTCAAAATAAATCAGAAAATAATTACTAATTTGGGTGCCCAACCCAGAAACTCTATCAACAGGAAAGGCTATTGACCCCCAACTGCAAAAGTTTTTCCAGCGATCAAATCAAACCCGTGTGTAACTGCAGGCTTATCGTGGCCAGTGGATATTGGTTTTGTCATGTGTGCATACACGGGCTCTTTCGTACGAAAACAAACTGTACTTAGGCTTAATTTGGCTTGACGAGATTTATGATAAGGGGTTAGCAAGTTGGGCATCAACAAACCCCAAAGCTCAGGCCACTGACACAGCCCCAGTTTTAACTCTCATACAACTAAACAATGATGCTCGCTACAAAAGTGATCCTTGCCCGTCTATATTGGTGGTTGAATTCTTCCAAATTCAATCAGTGTCATGGGATATAAACTAGTACTTTTCAACTTTTGGGCAAGGGCAAATAAGAATATTAGAGCATAAAACCATCCGAGAAAAATGGTTATCCTTCAGTAGAGGTGTGAAAGAAAAATACGAAACCATCACATTAAAACACTACTTTTCATTGATTTACATTAAAAACGCAGAAGACATTGAAGATGTCAAATGCGACACCTCACCTTTTCATTGGTTTACATTTTTACTTCATGGTTTTATCTTCTGCTGTGCTCCATAACATTTACCTAATTTATATTGATAAACATTAAACCTCCAAGATTTCTTTCATTTTAAGGGTAACTAAACTGAGCAGTGAACCCAAATTGAAGATTTCTGTCATTGAAGGTGTCAAATTGCATTTGTTTTCTTTTTCTTTTTTTTGTTCATTTTTGTTCATTTTTATATTGTTGTAAGAACAGGAATGGTTTTCTGTGAACCATCCAGTTCATATGATAGACATGTGGATATTGCAAGTACACAAGATAGAGAAACTTAAACAAGTGGATATTGCATGCACACAAGATAGACAAACTTCACCAACACAAAAGAAAGAAATGTAGAAATAAATATTAAATATTACAAGAGATGTTTTGTAATAAAGCTTGATAATCTATGTTATCCTGAGAAACCAACTTTATACATTGCAATTTATACAGAGACAGGCTTGGGGGGGNGGGTTACTATTTACGTTTAGTTACAGGAAGAAATTGATTACCGTCTTTTCTCAACCATATTGTGGAGCGAGTCCTCTTAACATGGTCAACGAAGAGACGATGCCTGTCAAAGTGAGAATACTTATTACTTAGTATCAGAAAAAGCAGCACTTCAAGCTTGAAATTTGCAAGGAAATATAATTTGTACCAGTAACTGATTCAATTTTTTTAGCTTAAAGATCCAACCCATAATCCATAGGGCTCTTTTTGGATATTGAGGGGAAAAAGACTCACCGCCAAAGCCCTTCATAGTCCCTAGATCTGGCAATTGGGTTGGGTGGGTCGGGTTCAGGTTGGGTCAAAGTACTTCGGGTTGATTTCAGGTCGAATTGGATTTCGGGTTGAGTTGTCAAATGCTAGACCCTAACCCTAAATATTCAGATTAGGATTGACCCATGGGTCAAATTGGGTCATCCCAAAAAATAATTGAAATAAAAATAAATAAATAAATAATGTCAAAATTAAAATAATTAACCATAAAATTCCAAATATAAAATAAAAAACTTGAACATTTAACAATTTAAAGAGTAAACAATAAAAAATAAAGAGTAAATAGAAAAAATTAAAAAGTGGAAACTTCTAACAATACATAAATAATTCCAATTAGACTTGACAATCGGGTCAGGGGGTTGACCCATGACCCAACCCAACCCAACCCAACCCAGTTTTTTTTCCGGGTTGGGTCGGGTAAGATTATTTTCACATTCGGGTAGCAAATACGAGACCCTAACCCTGTTTTTTCAGGTTGGGTTGGGTCAATTTTTTGCCAGGTCACCATGATTTCAATCCCGATTTTTTTTTATTTTTTTATTTTTTGTTAACTCAGATTTGATTCTAATGCTCACTAATTTTTTATGAAGCATTATCAAAGCCATATAACCATTATGATGGAGGATCTAGACTTCACATTATGTGCCTGTTCAGGTCCTTCGGGAGGGCTGTCCCGTGGCAGCCTTTGGGTTTGCAATTTTCAAGGTGGGCCCTTCCAGGACAGTAAATAAGCAATGTTTGGTGAAAAAACCATTAAGTCAAAATTTGCTGTCCATCAGCCAAAACAAGGGGCTTTCTGTTGAAGCTTCTTCAAAGCAGTTCAACCAAAGCTTCAGCCCTCCCCAAACAGATCCCATATGTGAGTTACAAATATGAATGATGCGAGGATGGAAAATCACATCATACTCTGATGCAAGTGTTTCTATTTGTTGATATGGTTTTATTTCTATAGTATACTGACCTCTCGTATTCCAGTTTTTGAATAACTATCCCATTGAGTACAAGCTCTGAACTATAAATTGCCGCTCCTGCAAATTCAATTCACATTATGAAACTGTCACAAAGTTCTGGTGCATTAACTGAACAATAGGTGGGAGATCTTAACCTTTTTCTAGGATAGGCACACAGACTGCATAATCTTCTTCACAAGAAAGAACCAGCAAATCATCAGGTATTTTATCATCCTTAACTACGGATCTCCCAATTCTCTCCACTGCCTGAGAGGCACCCAACCAAAGAATTCGGTATGTAAATAAGGAGAGCAGTACAACAACCACTTGTCATTCTGTAAGCACTTCTAGAGCCTATAGTGAAGCCCACATGGAGAGAAGGAAAGAAACCTTCTGAGAAAGAAAACAAATTTCATCCAATTCTTACTGTTCCAGTAGTTTCACAATTATGGTTTCCTAGGTATTCATCAAAAAAAAAAATTTATGGTTTCCTAGGTTTTTTTTGGAGAGAGAGAGAGAGAGAGAGAGAGAAATTAGAGGTTTCATTGTATCTTTTATTTAATAACATAATGGAATTTTGCAGCTCTCCCATGGATGTAGGGTACCACTCTGAATTTAATTTTTTCTAGTTTACTATTTTCTTCCCAGCAGATTAACAATCTATGAATTGCCTTGCTTTGAAGGTAATTAGTTCTTTTTAGTGAATACTTTGGTTAGATTTGAATTTTACATTTCAAAGAGAAGTACAACCCCCTACCAGATGCAGCACTTTCAAAAGGCACATGCCAGTGCGCCTTTTGAAAATCTGTGCCTATTTTTCTTTCTTTTTTTTTTTTTTTACTTATGGCTAGAGGTGTAAATCGGGTTGGGCTGCCCGCGGCCTGGCACGATCAAACAGGCCGTGCCACCCACGGCCCGGCCCATATATACTATTTATATATATTATATATTTATATATAATTTATTATATAAATTATAATTATATAACAATATATAGTATATAATATATTAATAAAATAAACAAAATTTCCAATTTTATTATACTAATTTATTTAATTATTGTATATATAAGCAATTATTGTATACATCAAAATTCATATAAAATTAAAATTTTAAGTTTCTTTTTTCAAATTTTTTAAATAAATAGGCAAAAATAGCTTTGGCCCGGTCCATGGCCTGACTTGGACCACCCGTGGCATGGCATGGCATGGGCCCACGCGGGCCTGGGTTGTGGGTCGTGCCGAGCTGACCCCCAAAATTTTCACCGAGGGCGGCACGGCCCGTGACGGCCCGTGGGCTAGCACAACACGGCCAAGTTTACACCTCTACTTATGGCTGGGCTGGGGACTTCGCCTCCAAACCACCAGAGCTCCAAGAAGCCCCTATTTGCTAATGTTGCTCATTCATTCATCCTAATAAAAGATATTTTTAAAAGATAATTAAAAAAATAAAATCTTTTTTTTTAGTTGTTAAGAATTTAAGACCCTAATATGAACTTGTTTGGGCTTGCCCCAAGGGGCTTGGTGCAAAGGCAGCTTGTAGAATCAAGAATGCACAATGTTTAACATCACATTAGCTATTTGAAGCAATGAGATTGGAAAAATAATAAAGAGATTGAGAGTTGTGCATGCTTGAATATGTTCTATATGCTATGTTTGATTTTATTTTTAAATGTGTTTTACATGTTTTGTTTATGTATTTTAATTTGACATAATGGTATTTTTAAATATTTATTTTAAATTTTAAGTTTACATTTTTAATTAATATTATGCTTAATTTTTATTTTTTTGGCATTTTTACATTTTGTGCCTTGCTTCAAAAAGGCATGTGCCTCGCCTTGTTATTGGAAATTTTATAAATGGTCCGAAGAATAAAGCTATGCTTTAGTAAATTGTATTGTAGGAACTTATTCCAACCTTTTCTTTTCAATTTTCCTATATGATAATTCCCCATCTCAATCAATAAAATTGAGGGTTACCTATCCAGGAGAAAAAAAAAAATGAAGCCTCCATCTTTTTCTTCTATTCCTTCTCTACAAGTTTGTTGTTACAACTAATTTTCTATTTTTATTATCTTTGGCTTCTAATTTCTTATTGTGTAAATATCTGTTTAGGATCCATACAAGCCAGCTAGATATATTCCATCTTTCATCTTAATTCTTAGCAGGCATGGAAGAGGATCTCTTCAGATCTGAATGAATTTTGCAGGAGTCCTAGGATAAGTTAGGAATTTCTAACATGGGGTCAAAGAATTATATTTCATCTTCTAAGCACCCAATGTTTAGAATTATAAAAAATCAAAAATATAATTTTTTGCAAGAGTCTGAACACACTTTGTCAACACTGCTTCAACATTTGGTGTTCTTAATGAAACTATTTCAGTTACTGGACAAAAAAAAATGATTTTAGGATGTTTATAAGATTTAGTTTGAATTGATGATGTGGCATGTGGGGTCTACAAAATTTTCTTGGACCTTTTTTTATAAGAAAAAGAAATTTTCATTAAAAAAAGAGCATCTTACAAGCAACAATACAGGTGTAAAGATAGCACCGAACCAAAATTTTCTCGAACCTAAGTTGGAAATATTTTCGTATAACTATTTTTCATAGGTGAAAATTTATCTATTTGCTTGGTTTTAGTGTATCTAGAATGGTTTGAGTTACCTGTGCAGCAAGACAAAGATCATGTTAAGCAAAAATGTGCATATTGCCACCAATACGGCAATACATACTTTTAGCTGCAGAAGAGAATATGTAAGAGAACATACCTGGCCTTGAACTGCCCTAACCAAGCTTGCAACGACTTCTTTACTAGGTTTTATATTTGGGGTGACGAAGACTCGTTTGCCCTGCATGGAGATCATTGTGAAGCAGTGACAACAAATACAGAGATAGAAATGCACTTAACCATCGGTCACTAGAAGTTTTCCACCATGGTATGCATACAATTCCAACCAGGATGCAACAACATGTCTGCTTGCATAAAACCAATACAAGACTTCACAAGTACCTGCAAAATTGGATGTTGGCATGCACGGGCCAAAGAAACTGGCATGCTAAAGCCAATCTCCTTTTCCTTTTTGGAATCTCTAAGTATGTAATTTTTCTCATCAATAAAACAGCTAGCTTGTCCACAGCTCTCAAGCCACAGATGTGTTACTACTGGTTTACCAAGAGCTATTGCTTCTAACATATTCCTTGTACGGACAAATTTATCTGCCACAAAATGTGTTGCATCTGAAGAACAGGATGCAATGGATATACCTAGACGGGTCAATATCTGTGACAAAGAACCAAATATCAAAATCTAGCAAATAAACTCATTGTGGTGCAGAACTGCAGACTGTGCTATCAGAACCAGAGAAAATAAGTACCTTCTTCTGCTGCTTAATGATATCCTCATCCAAATGATGGCTAAACAACACCCGAATACTACTTAAGTCTCTCCTTCTTCTCATATCTTTCCATACAGGAGTAGGAACTGCTTCGCTGGCATCTAATCTGACAAGCTCTTTCATGAGGAATGATTTTGATAAGTTTTTGCATGATTGTTTGTGATATTCATCACCCATACAAACAGGTGATGCAGCATTTATTGGTGTAGTGGCATTAACAGGTGTGCTACATTCTGAACAAGGTCTCTTTGCTTTCTCATTTGGGGATTCTACAAACTTGGCATTTCCTTTTGCACCTTCAACAGACTCATTCTTACTCCCTGAGTCTGGGGATACTTTAGCATCAACAACTCCAGGAATTACTTTTCGATTCACAACATCCAAAGAATGGCTGCCAGCACTGTCCGAACCTGGTTTGTGCCCCATCAATCTCTTAGAACTCTTTTCTGGAAAAGGCAAAAATGGATGGGGATAAACACCTGATCGTGTTCTCTTCCTCATATCTAAGTTGAAATTAATGCCAGTATCACTGTTTGACCTTTTTCGCCATATTGTGGATTGTTCTTTAGGTTCTTTCCCTTTAACAACTATGGATGGGCCATCTAGAAGACCAACTTCATTGAAGTGAGATGAAATGCTCCGACGTGTTCTCATCCTTCTGGGACAGCTCAATATGCATTCCTTCACATGGCTGGTGGGAGCAGTCATTTCTTCATGATGTTTATCAAGGTCTGGTTCTGGTACCTTATGTTCACTTGGCTTGCTTTTGTTAACCTCATCAATTTGATTGGGACCAAATTTAGATGCTTTTCCTTTTAAAGTCAATGACTTCACTGCATTAACACCTATATCATTACCTTCTAGTTTATTTAGATGGACATTATCAGATAACTTTTCAGCCTTTTTCAATGGATTCAGTGCCATGCACTGCCTAGTTCGACGAGCAATGGGTGTGGAAGTCCCATAACCCTCTTTCAATTGTGCTTTGCTAGATGAGAAATGCCCATTTGAAATGGATGAACTATGACATTTGTTAACCTCTTTAACGCAGGTCTTATCCATAGATTCCACCGCCTTGCTTGGCTTGACAAATTTAGATGATGTTCCTGACGTTTCAATGCAATTGGCAGCACTCCTAGTATTTATATGCTGCTTACCCTTTGTATTGCCCCTTCTCACCTTTGTTTTTACTGCTGAGTCTTGATCCAATTCCCGCACTCTTGATTTCCTAGAGGGTTTTGGACATGAAGTGGATGTTTTTTTATTTAATTTGGTATTAGCCAGATTTGATTGTTTGGACTGTCCTGTAATTCGCTCGTGACCAGAAGGATAAGTCCTCTTCTGAAGGGAAATGTTTTCTGAACAAGATTTCTTTCTTTTTACACCTATGGGAGGACCTTCTAATGTTTTTGGTTCAGCTTGATAAGCACCGTTGGCAACATGATTGGCAGGGGTTCCACAGAATAAGGCTTCCATAGCTTCAGCAGCCATTTGAGTATCAAAGCCAACATCATATGTGTCTGGGGAAATCCTACTAGTATCAGGTGTTCCCAGCTTTTCTCCTATAAATTCTGCATTTAGCTGTTCATCCAACTCCTTGGTAAGATTCTTTTTGATCTTTGTTTCATGTATCTCTATGCCCTTTTTTTCATCAGATTGTTTCTGTACCTCTTCAGAAGTATGCAACATTAGCCTGGAATCTGAATTACTTAGACCCATTATTTTCTGAAGGTTATTCAAGCCTTCTTTCTCTCTAGTCCTAACTACATCTCTGCCTCTTTTGAAGTTCTGACGCATGGGGTCTCGAGGTTGGGTAAGAGATCTCCACTGTCCGGTGCTTCCAAAGAATGCATCCTTCCTCTTCAAGAAGAAATCTCCCCCTCCTTCATCTTCACGGCTGTCAACCCAGTCAAAGACTCCCGTCTCTCTAACTGGACTTTTAAGATTTTGTCTCTTGACCAAGCTTTGAGGTCCCTTTGCATTAGATACAGGAGGTGACTTTCCTTTCGTTGTTCTATAAGGATAAACTTCTTGAGATGACTCTACATTGTTAACTGAGAGAAACTTATCCACAACATCCAGTGCATTGGCTTGTGACAACTCACCAGGTTCCTGTGACTCCATGTAACTCAACCCGGCAAACTCATGATCACAAGCAACAGAACGAGGAATATCTGTTTCTCCATCCATACTATGAATTTTACTCGTAGATCTTTCATTCCCAGCAACTTTATCCTCATAAAAGAGCTTTCTTGCTGTTGAATTGCCCACCCTGATCTTGGTATCATTTCTAACTGGCATATTCTCGTTGCATCTCCTGGTATCACAGTTCTGATCAACCTTCCTTACATTGTCCAGAGGCAAGTTTGCATCTATTGTATTAGACATATTATTTTTCCTGTGAGCATGCCCTTTTTGTGGTTTACTATTACTGGGGTTAGAACAAGGCACAGTGTAGACTCTCTTAGGATTATTGCTTTGAGAAGCTATGCCTGAAGCCCAAGACGATGCTATCCTTTGTACAGGTACTGAAAAATCAACATAAAGCTCCTTACAATGAGATTAATGTCCATTAGACCATTGCATAATAAAGAAGATATTTTACTAACTGGTGTATGAAGCAATTATCAAAAGCTAAAGTTCAGGTTGGATTTCTTTTAAAGGGGAGAGTTTATGTTGCTTAAATACCATAAGGCAAGCATGTGCGTGTAATCAGAAACCAATATTTCTTAGATTTAGTTTCATCAAAATGATATCAGAGAGGTCAACTTCATATTTCACACAGTTTTCACAAAATTCATCAACCTTTTTCCAGGTAGAGATGGTACCTCCTCATACCTTTTATGGACAAAATGTACAGAAAAATGTATAAAGATTTTATTTGGTTGGAAACAGGAAAATGACCAACAAAATAAAGGTGGAAAGTTATTTGGTGTAATAAGTAAAAGTGGTATTCAAAATTTCTTAAGGACTTTTTTCAACAAATTTAAGTGCATTGATTGGAAGGAAAAATACCCAAGGTATGAACAAATCATACCTTACTGCCAACCATAACATGACACCTACTAAGAAGGAAATTACATGTTGGACACTTGGACTAGGGTCATTTTTTAATTTCTTTTCCTGGTAGTTTCTTCTTTGAGAAGAAATAAACTTCATCTGTGGCAATACCCAGTATCCAGATGTAATAGAGCTCTTAGTTGTTTCATCTCGATCAAGAAACTAGCAGGAACTTATTACTGCAAATAGTAATCCTTTCCTTTCTTAATACAAACATTGAAAAATATTTTTCTTTTCTTGATAATTAACTCTGTAACGATTTCTTTTCCATTTCCTATAAAAGTATAGAGCACTTAGCGGGCAGAAAGGAAGGCACGTTGTCTCTGTTACAAAAAGTACATTTCAGTGAGACATGAAAGGAAAAAGTTCATTGGAACTAAACAAATACTACCATTTTTAATTACTTTTTTAGAAGTTGCATCTGCACTTCTCTTTTGGCTCTCAAGCACATCAAACTGAAGTAGCTATTAAATGCAGCAGTTACAAGCCACAAAACATTCTTCAACAAAATAAAAATATCATAAGATTTAAATTAGGAAGCAAGTGCAGTTTCATAACAACCAACAAAAGAAAGCAAAATTCAAATTCTCAAACAACAAAAGAATGTTAAAGAATAAACAAAAGCTTTCCAATAGGCACTCAATGTAGAACTAACCCTCAAGCAGGCTTCAATAATCACAATCGCCAAGTAAACCAAGAACAGTTTTCCTTCTTTTAAGTTTTAAAACCAAATGTAAATTTTTATTACAGAGGATGACAGGGTACATCAACACAAACCATGTAAGAAAGCACAAGTGAATTAAAGATGGAAAAATGCAATACATACGTATTCCATTCTGAAAAAAGAACCAACCTGATCTTTCTTCCTCGTCATGCGAGGCATCAGAGTCCAGTATAATGTCCTTCGCACCCTGTTTACAAGGACTGTGCTGCCTCTTTTCTGAGCCAACAGAATCATCACCACTTCCTCTTTTAGAGTCATCATCAGAAACCGCGTCAACATCAGTCAGTATTTCAGTTCTATCTGTCCCTTCACCGTCGCTGTCAAATGATAGCTCTTTATCATAGTCATCCAACAACTGGGTTTTCACATCTTCGATCAAATCTAAATCTTCTATTTCTTGGGTTTCACCTTCAAGATCCACCAACTGGGTTTCAGCGAAGATTTCAAGTGGAATGGTATCATCTAACGGCACAGTGTTCTGAAACGCGTGCAAATCATCAGCATTGTCCTCTTCGAGTTTCTCACCTGAATATCAACCAAACGACAAACCTTTTTCACAACATTACTCCACTCATTTCATTGATGGATTGAGAGGTGTGAAGGAAATCTTGAACTTCAGAATTTTCTTATTAAATCCATTGAAGTTAAGGAAGCAAAGGAAAGCGAAAACCAGAAACCAACAAAACAAAAAAGAATATCACGGCCTACCGGAGGACACCGAAGAAGGAGACTGAGTGTCGAGGGCCTGAATTTCGGTATCGCTACCGTCAGCAACTGAAGTCCCTCCCCTGGAACTCACTTCATTATCACTATCGGAACCCATTTCAAATCATCTGAAACTAAACCGAATCCAGCTGAAGACTCAACACATCGTGGAAGATCAGATACAAACAAGAATTGAAATCTTCAATTATGATCTCAGTATTGACAAGGAAAGAAGTTCAGAGTTAGGGAAATAACTCCAATAAACAATGAGGATCTTATCCTACCCAGTCAAGGGAAGGCAGATGCAGTAGAAGGAGGACGAGAACGGGAGCGATTCAACGTAAATCCTTGAATCGGTTAAATGCGGATTTAGGGTTCGCGGGATTTGAAAAAAGAAGAGCAAGACGAGGTTAGTTTTTTACATTTTTGGAGGGAAAATTGATGTTTGAGAGTTAATTTATAGAAACTAGAGCAAGCAACTTCACAAGAGTGCATTTGGTCTAGTGGTATGATTCTCGCTTAGGGTGCGAGAGGTCCCGAGTTCAATTCTCGGAATGCCCCCAAAAATGTAACCTTTTAGTTTTTATTTATGTTGCGATTTTTTAAATCTATCAACAATATACGTTTTAACACGGTAACACCCTTCCAACGTCGACACCGCACATCTTCACTTTTATCATACCGTTGATTGAGTCCGTGGGGAATGGGGTTGTGAGGTTCATGTGAGATGCACTCTATGAGGAGCAGATTCCGACTCCCGTTGATATGGTACTGAAAAGTAATAAAATGTTATTAGGCTTTTGGGGCATTCCGAGAATCGAACTCGGGACCTCTCGCACCCAAAGCGAGAATCATACCACTAGACCAAATGCCCAGGACATTTGATAGGGGAATTAAAATCTATTTTGTTGTTAATTTTCATTTGCCCCGAACTATCTCGGTTTTGAGCCTGACCTTTTGCCCTTTTTTTCCTGTATTTTTACATCATACCAACCCATGGTATAATTGAATATGGAGTTCACAAATCAGTGAATCCAACCTCAAGAGATGGTTTAGCCCGACCGTTTACCAACTGGTTGAGATGGTCGCTTGGCATCTCTCTTGTGAGTATATGGAAGTGCAGGATCAAACTCATGTAAATATAGGCTCTAGTCACAGGAAACCTAGCTGCACCCTTTTCTATCGCCACCTGTCTATCCCTTCTGATGTATAGCTTGTTTTGGGAAGGATGAGCTAAATATTCAGTTAAGTTGGTTTAGCTGTATTGAGGCACTCTAGATAAATTTATATAAAGAAGTTGAAGTGAACAGCCTAAAAATAGATTGAATAGATAGCCAATTTGGGTTCGCCAAATTTTCACTAGGCAATTTAGAACTGGCAATTGGGTTGGGTGGATCGGGACACTTTGGGCTGATTCGGTTCAGGTTGAACTTCAGGTTGGGTTGTCAAGTGTTAGACCCTAACGTTAAATGTTTGGTTTAGGATTGATCCATGAGTCAATTTTTGTCATCTCAAAAAATAACTGAATTTTTAAAACATAAAGAAAAATACATGAAAATGTCAAAATTAAAGGAATTAACCTTAAAATTCCAAAAATAAAATAAAAAAACTTGAACATTTAACAATTCAAAGAGTAAAGACTAAATAGTAAAGATTAAAGAGTGGAAACTTCTAATAATGCATAAATAGTCCCAATTAGACATGACAATTGAGTTAACGAATTAACCCATGACCCAACCCAACCCAGTTTTCTTTTTTTTTTCAGGTTGGATCGGGTCGGGTCATTCTCAAGTTCGGGCAGCTGAAATATGAGACCCTGACCCTGAATTTTTCGGGTTGGGCCAACTTTTTGCTAGGTCTACCAGACATGGCTTAAAGGTTGATCATCAATCATTTTAAGGGCTACCCACTTTAGCTTATTTAAATAAGACACGCTATCTTTTAATTTTTTGGGTACTTAACACGATACCCACTAATTTATCAAGAATAGGTGGTAATAGCACGATTCAAATCCACATCTCTGTTGGGCCTACCTAACTAACATGCCAACTGAGCCACCACTCAGTTGATTTAGGACAAGTTATTTAAAGAAGTTGAAGTGAACAACCCAAAAAATGACTGATTGGCAGTCAATTTGGACTCTCCATTATTCACCAAACATGGCTTAAAGACTGCTTGCCAATCATTTTAAGAACTGCCCACAAAATAACTAAGGGAGAATGAATGATCAGTCTAACTCAGAATTCAGTAATAACGGGGGCTCTAATTCAGAATTTTGCAGTGAGGTGCAGAGTGCTTTTCTCAAATCCCAATAACTTATTGGGAACACTTCAAAGTAGCCGAAACCAGCTTAGCTGAACCTTCAGCTCAACCCTCTCAGATAGGTCCGTGGTATCAGAAAAAAAAAAGGTTTAATTAGTATTGTGCTTCTTATCCCTCCACGAGATAAACGAACGGGCACTACAAGAAAAAAAAAAGGTCAAAATCGCCTATATTCATTTTAAGACCTAGCGCGGCGGATTTATAATGAACCGAAACCAAACCGGTATTAAATTGGTCTAACGAGGAGAAACGCGCGCGAGGTGGGAAAAACTTTTGCGAAGCATCTCCTGAGTCCTGACTCCTGTTCGACAAGAAATCGAGAAGACAAAAACTTTTTTTTCGAAGAACACAAACTTTTTTCTCTTTTGAAGAAGATAAACTTTAAAGCTTGCAGAGTGTTGCAGAGCATTTTTGAAGAAGATAGACTTTCTTCTTCACGAGAAAGAAAAATTGCATAGTACAAGTTCAGTTCGTGAAAGGTTTATTCTTCATTTGAGAAGTTGAAATATCTGTTTGAGAAGGAGAAAATTTCAAGCCAGCAGCACCGACCATTGTTCGTTCAAGCAAGAGAGGAGAGGTAACATTCCAACCCTTCTTTTAATCAATTTTCACCTTCCTCCTCTTTCGTTCTACCAAGGTTTTCTTTCCAGTGAGAAGTGATAACCATCCGACCATCGTCCTCCTCTTTCTTCCTCCTCTTCTTTTTCTTCTCATCATATCCTAAAACCTATTAGATTTCCCCTGTGTTTCGTAGATCTGTCCATTTTTTATCATCCTGTCTTTTTTTTTTTCTCATCATATCCCCAATTCCCTTCATCATCTTCGTTCGTGGTTAGTGAGTCCTAAATCCTATTAGATTTCCCCTTTGATTGCTTCATTACATTAGTATGATTATGCTTGTTCACAAGATATGCTATCATTTGTTAGTTGATGTCTAGCATAAGAACGAACGTGGTAAGATTGATTTGTAAGTTGATGTATATATATATTTTTGAATAGCTTCAGCAATATCATACAATATTTCACACATGCTTATATTTGGATCTCCTATGTCACAAATGCTTATATTTGGATCTCCTATGCCCCATTTGCACTGGAACTCCCCCCCCTCATTTTGGTTCTAGGTCTGGTATTATAGACCCTATAGGGTCTGCTTCAGGACTGGGTCTACATAATTTTCTTATAACGGGCTAGAAATCCACCCTAATAATCCCAACAGTACTGACTTACAAAATTATAAGTAGGATTCTAACATCATTATTATCTTCGCAAAGTCCAGCATCTGCTACTTGCAGATTAATGTTTTCAGATCTATTATGTTCTTGAGCATTAATGCTTCATGGTTCTGCTTGTCTAGTTTGATATTTTATTACTTTGACGTGCTATGTATCAGAATGTTGAATTTTGAATAACATTTTCAACCATGTACACCACCCCATACAATATAGATTTTTTTCATTATCAAAACACACAATATAATTCTCACAATAAATGGATGTGTCCTAGACATCACTTAGCTAGAGTCTAGAGCCAAGTTTTTAAACACTCAAGTTTTTAACAACTCCACTTCCAGGTACTAGGCACTCACCAACAGCATGATTCTCTGAACATAATGTGGACTACTGAAGTGAGCCACTTGGGTGTGACTGCAAAGCACACTTGGGTATCACCCTCTGGATGGCCCTGTTAAACACTTCCAAAACAGGAGACCATTACTTGAGATGGAAAGACAGCTAACAAAAATTAAAAAGAATATCCACAGATCTGATTTCAGGTTTATGAGAGAAAGAAAGCACACAAACCATTTCCAATAGCAGAAACATCCCAGCCAACACCCTTTACTGTCCTTAATACCTTTCTTGTTACATTAATACCTTTCTTGTTATAAGTTATGCCCCCTAACAAGACAAGCATCAGCCATGTTCTACAACCAATGGATTTCAAAAAGTGCTACCAGAATAAGGTGATCAATGGGATCAGGGAAATAAGTTATTCAAAAGCAAATTCGTGGCTGTCAGTACACATAAGGTTCAGGAATAGTACACATAAGGTTCAGGAATAGTTTCAGACTGTTTTCATGGAAAAGAACCAAACTGTTTTCACATAAAAAAGCTGTTTTCATAGGAAAAGCAAAGAGAAGTAGAAGTGCAGGTGGGGTCCCTGTGCTGAAATTTGTAGGGGAAATCAATAGCTCTGTTCAAATGCTGTTTGGGTTGTTATTTTGCATACTCTGAAAGGAAATCCATGGCCCACCATAGGAAACAAAATCAATGACCTCTTGAAAGGTATCAAAAGCCAAACCCCATTGTCCCAAGCCAAAGGGAACAATTAATAATATATTACTGTGGCCGAAACTATAAATATTAGTATTATTAAATGCTGCAATCTAGACCACTATTAGATTCCATCAATGATATTGTCAATTTTGTGTTGATATCCTATCAATGAGGCTGAATTCGACATCTATGATTTAATGCCATCAGAATGGGGTCTGCACAACAAGGTGAAGTATTGTATTACTAAAAAACCACAAAAGTCAAGTCTGCACAAGGATCTGTGCATTGTCCAGGCCAGAAACAAAGGATTGAAAGTCTCTACCTCCTTGGTGCATACTTGGGTTGAAGCTCAGGTTTGGCAATCTGGACAGAAAATCTGCAATTTGGGGCATCCCCAAATGGCCGACATGTTCCCAGATCTTGACAGTAAATATGCAATTTGAAGCTTAATTCTATCCACGGAGGCTGCATATAGCATCCTACCAGGTTGGAAGTTTGTACTGCTTTCAAACTGAGTCTAATGCATTTTGTCTCCTCCATTCTCAACTTGAAATTGATTATATTTGTATTGCCTTCCTTTTTTCATCAAAAAGAAAACAAAGAAAATGATACTAATGCAATTAGAAGAGTCTTAAATATAAAAAGGATATATATATATATATAGTTACCTAACACATAGCCAAGTATATATATCCTGAATTAGAATGTGACTCTAATGCAATTAAAGGCCATTACCCAGTCACAGATATCTGGGGTCTTGGGAGGGGTAGACTGGAACTGGATAGGCCCTAACCTTTGGAACTTTTTGCTCAAAGTATATGCTCTCAGACTTGAACCTGCATTTCTGGCACTTACTAGCCAATCTGGGTAACCCAATTGATTCAAGCCCTTTTTCACCTTTACTAATAAACATGTAGTATAGAGGTGGTTGATTTATTTGGTGCCTTCAAGTATTTGGAAAAATCACCTAGCATTTTCAAAGAAATGAAAGAGTTATGCCATTTAAGTCAGGAATCTATATTTCTACATCACACTATACCACTTGGATAAACTGATTTTCAAAGAAATAAGTGTAGGCAGAACAACTTTTGTCCTTTATAATACTATCAGCAAACTGTTTTTACCTAGACTAGTCACCAAAGTTCCCTTCACAATAGGAAGTCCTTTTACCCCATATCAGAGTAAAAAAACATCAAGCTAGCACCCAATATGGTGCAAGGATGAAACATGCCAACTTATAGACCTAGCAAAAAGATGACCCAACTTGCGAACCTGACCCAACCCAACCCAAAAAAACAGGGTTAGGGTCTCATATTTAGCTACCTGAATTTGAGAATGACCTGACCCAACCCAACCCAGAAAAAAATGGGTTTGGTTGGGTCATGGGTGAACCCGTTGACTCGATTGTTAGGTCTAATTGGGACTATTTGTGTATTCTTAGAAGCTTTCTCTCTTTCATCTTTACTATTTAGTCTTTACTCTTTATCGTTTACTCTTTTAATTATTGAATGTTCAATTTTTTATTTTAAATTTGTACCCTATTGGTTTGTAACAGGTTAAAATGAATATATTGAAGAAACTTAAAGAAAAGGGGATGTTAGAGTGAGCCGAATAGGGGTAGTTTAGTAATCTCATGTCAGTTAAGTACTTTGCTTATGTGGCTGTTTTATTAGAGCACTCTGCCCCACACTTAAGTGTGGGCAGTTTAGTCTTTGTAAGTGTAATTAGAACCTAATAAACATAAGGGGGTCGACTGAATGTGTGACTAATCAATTTCGACTAAACCCTCCTGTTCTCTCCTTCTCTTGTCTTCTTCCTTCTTCATTGGTTCGGATTACTGTAGCTGCTCCAAAACAGGGGACACGATCACAAGCAAGTAAATCAGGGTCCCGCCCAACCACTAGTAACACACCCAATATAGAAGATACACGGGCACATGCAAGTCAATCGATGGCTCATAATAGGTCAACACCTGACGTAGATGATACTACATCACCAACCTAGTCACCTGACTTGGGAAGGCATGAGGAGCCCTCTAGTGGGCATGTTGGAGAGGGGTCTTCTCGTACAACACATAGGTTAAGAGGCCCCGGTATGGCCATAGATATATGAAACATGCCTGAAGGGGAACAAATTGAAGTTGGGTTCAATGAATACAACCAACCCAATGATGGAAAAACAAAGGATTTAGTTGGATTTTTGGGTAGCCTTGCACGAACTCCAAACCAATTGCCCATAGACATGGGTGATTGGAGAGAATTTCCTACAGAGACAAAGGAAGAAATATGGAAACTTATCAAGGTATTAAATTCATTGTTTTTTTTTTGTTTATTTTTTAAATGTTTCTCTTATGCAAACATGATGATTGGTTTATTATTTTGGTTATAGAAAAAATTCAAGGTGAATGATGACACAAAAGACACACTGAAGTCATTGGGTAAAAAGTGGAGGGATTGGAAGTCCAATTTGAAGAAAAAGTATTATGACCTTGATCCGGATAGTGCAGATGCACTACCAATTGAGCAGCTTGAAAGTCGGGTTAATGCACACCAATGGAGAAATTTGGTATAGTTTTGGAGATCTGAAAAAGGGGCTGTAAGTATCTTAAACATTTAAATATTTTTGTTTTTTATTTGAATGAGTGAAAAGTAAATTAGTTGTATTTTAATATAGGCAAGATCCATAACCAATAAAGCTAACCACTCCGAATAAACAATCAACCACACAGCAGGAGCAAAGAGCTTCGCAAGAGTACTCAAGGAATTGGTAAGTATACAAACTTGATTTGTTCATTATACTTTCTACATTCATTTATTTTGTAAGTGTTGAAAATAATTACATATTGTCTTCATGGTAACAGAAAATAGAGAGGGAAGCTGATGTATCGCGTGCGGAGGTATTTTATGCAACACACAGGAGAAAGGATGGGACGCCTGTAGATCCAAGATCGGGTTCTTTAATGGTATATTTATTCAAGTGTGTATTAAATGGTATGAATTAACAAGTTGCTTTGAATTACTAATAGTTTTGTATAATATCCAAGGAGTAAATGCAAAATTGCATGGCTCAAGAGGAAGACACTCAAAATGAGGGCAGTGAACAAGGACACGATGATGTCTATGCTCGTGTGATGGGCCAAGAGCGTCGTGGCTGAGTGCGTGGTCTAGGTTTAGGCCCAACTCCGTCCAGGTTCAGGGGCCCACGACAGAGCCATGAAGATGCCATGAGGGTTGTTAATGAAGGTAAAAGAGCAGCCGAAGAGTGTTCATAGAAGCTGGAAGAGCAGATTGCATCAATGCGAGAACAGATGGATGCGATGGAAGCTTAATTGCTTAATAGACGGGTATCACCCTTGTTTATATATATATATATATATATCTAAATAGTTTACACTTGATTGCATAAATATTTATTTGATATTTATGTTTCATTAATTCTATGCAAGGATTGAGGTGAATCATCCCAATTGCGAAGACACTGAATCAAAGTCCCTTTTATTATCAATTTAGCTCCGACACTGAATCACAGGTGTTTTTAGTAAGTGTCATTTGATTTAAATACAAATGAGAAAGTGTAAGGTGTTTGTTGACAAGGACAATTGCATTTGCAGGAAAATACCGAATGTAATTTGTTGACTTTCATGCAAGGAGGATTTGTATCTGTTGCCAAAGCAACCATTACAAGTTTAGATCCTCAGAAGATTGTGGGTGGTGTGCCACTTGGTTATGGATGGACAGAGGTCGTGATCAATGTTCCGAATATAAGTGATGCACCATTAATGCGCCCATATGGACGCTATAGAACAATTGGAACCGCTGTTGGTGTTCCAATTGCTTGGAGTTCAATCCATGTAAGTTTTATTTACCCTGTCTATCTTTTATAGTTAAAATATTTGAATATAATTTTAAAATTTATATGATATGATTTGTAGATTCATTCCTTATGCTAAGCGGACTTTCATCCATTCTCGGTGTCTCTTTAGAAAAGTATGGAATGATTGTATGCCAAATTTTGCCCATGAAAACAATTTCATTTATATCTGATATCCATTTTTATGGGAGTACAATGTGTAGTTAAGATTGTTGGATAGGGGGTGGCATAGCACTTGGCTAAACTACAAATTTGCATTTTTATGGGAAACAATTTCTGATGTCTCCCCATGGATCCTAAGTAGAATCAAAAGATTTGAAGTCTCATGAGAATATCCTTTTGTTTTAAAGACATAAAAATGATTCCTTCTGAAACAGAAGGATTATCTATGGCATGTCTTAACATTTGTAGTTCAGATTTAAATTAGCTTAGGCTATTTTCTGAATCATTTTCTTTCCCCAACATTGATTTTGATGGTGAAGCCTTTGACAGGTTGTTTCAGCCCTTGCTATTGATCATTCAGGTTCGAGGGTTATTTCTGGTTGCAGTTTGGGTTCTGATCTCTCCAGTTTTTATCCGAGTTTTAAGAGAGGATTTGGATATCATATTAGGGGATATATTGGAGTTTCATCTCTGTAGCTTGGAAACTTTGTTTTGGGCTCAAATAGAGTCCCCATATTCCTCTCCCCAGCTTATATGGAAGAATTTTCAGCTCAAATTCTTCTATGCTCACAGGTACCTGAACTTAAAATTGTTCACTAGTTTGCATCAAAAATTGGTTTATAAGAACTTGTTTTGCAAAGAAAAAATGAAGAAAACCATGGTGGGTATTATATTTCTCAGGCCAAATCCTCAATGTTTAGGCTGAACACTCTATTATGTGGACCCTGAAATATGCCAATGCAACTAATCTGAGCTTATGGCAGTCATACAAGGCCTATGATTGAGTAGAGATCTGGGTTTCAGAAATATATTGAAGGGGGCTCCTGGGTAATTGTAAATATTAGCCAAGTTTTGTGGCAATATAAATATGTTATGAGGGAACGTGGAAGAAAAGAAACTGATGAGAGAAGTTGGTACTAGCTTCATTCATCAAAAAAAAAAAGTTGGTACTAGCTTCAAATGGGTTCAGATTTCAGAGGCTAAACAAGGGGTGGATTTGTAATGTTTTATTGGAAAAGTGATAAGAGATGGGGTTAGATGGTAGTTTAGCCCAACAAAAAAGGAATTTCTTGCAACCTGATCTACATATCTCATTCAGTCATTCTTTTTCATAACTAGCAAAATGGATACTACTTGCCAATAAAAAAAGTGGGTTACTAATCAAATATGAAGAAATCACATCTTGCATAAGCATGGTATCACTCCATTCTCATTGAGCATTACAATTACTCTTCAAGATATTGCTTTTTGGTATGAAAATGAAAGACTTGATCTTCAATATTTTATGAAACTCAGAAAATATAAGCTTAGTGTCTTTTTGTGTGTGTGTGTGTGCGTGTGTGTGTGTGCGCGTGTATATATATATATACTGAAAAGCAGTAAGCTTTAAAATTTCCTATGCAATCTTATTTCTTTTTATGATTGAACTATCTCTTCTTGTCTACTCTAAAAGCAGCAGCAGCAGCAGAAACAAGAGTTCATCTCTTTCTTCTTAATCTGCTATTCATTCTTTGGTGGATAGCAAGCTTTCCACTTGTTCCTCTGTATCCGTTCTTCATCATTAATCCCTCAAATTATCTTCCTTCACCCTTCAAGGCCTGTCAACAGACCAGAAATTTGTAAGACCCCCTTATATATCCTACATCAGTTAACTTGATTTCTTCTTCCATGGTCTCTTTTCCTTTTCCCACATTTACATCAGCATGTAAAGATTATTTGTATATTTCTATATGCGTTTGCGGAGGGTGTTTTATGCTGTAGGGCCTTAGATTGGCATGATAATTGTTAGTAGTGTTAAAGGGAATTCATATTAGCCGAACACTTTATCTGTGAGGCAGGCTGTGGAACCAATGATGGGCCTCCACAGCAGTGATAAAATACATTGGACCCACACTAAGAGATTGAATGATTATGGGTCCCATGCATTTTATGATTAATGTGGAGTGTTATTATTGGTCCCACAGCAGTGATAAAATTCTCCTTAATTATTGGTCCACTCATTTAGATGCATGCCATACTATTGATCAACGAGTGCCAAAGGGAATGGCGTTAAACTAGGAATCTCCACAGTCATTTTTGAAGAAATGAATTATTTTCATCTATAATTGTACCAATTTCAAAGCTCTTATGTGTAGTTCGTATTGTTCTTGTTGTTGTCAGTTTATTTTATCGAATGTTTTAACACTGCTAAATGATGCAGGATATCCTGAACTGTGCTAGTCTGCTTGAAATGACATTTTTACTGCAACTTGACTGAGAATTTAGCTGATGTACATTTCATATTCATCCAGCTTTGTTTAGTTTGGAAGGCCAACCAGTTTAGATGGATGCTGTCTCAATAATTGCTACATTCCCGTCAGATTTAAGAGAAGAGGTTTCAAATTCATTAAGTTATTATGTTTATGTTTTTAGAAAACTCATCCATTCATCCTTATATATATATATATTCATTTCCAGGTCCTATTAACTTCTTCTGATGCTATTCTAGCCAATTTAACACCTGCTCCATCTTATTGCTGAGGCTAATATGCTACATTAAAGATTTGCACATCGTTATCATAGCTGTAATCTTTTTGGCATGTATTCAAGGAACAGAAGAGGGGAGTCTTCTAGACAGGGTGAAGCTATTGGATCCACCTTGGACAGAGCTGGCATGAGCATTGCTTCACGCAGACCTCTTGGAGGTAAACTAGTATAAGCTCGCAGAGTTTCAAGACCATTTTGCTCAGTCACGGGGCATCATTTAGAAAATTCTTTATGGTAATGAATAACATGTAGCCATTAATTTGCATTTTCTCTTTTCCATCATTAACATGTAGCCAAAAATTAATTTGCCTTATCTTCTATTTTTCCCTCAACTTTCATTTGTAAATGCCCATTACACTTATTATGGTCCATTTTGTCAAATGTTGATTTATGTTGCAGATTCCTCTTACTGGACCCAATTCAATTATTGGAAGGGCTGTCGTAGTACATGCTGATCCTGATGATCTTGGGAAGGGTAATTACATGGACTTCCTTTTTTGTTGGTAATTTTTGTTTTCCTGGACAAAGTGAGGGTATCTGCAATTATCAAATAGCTTGAGTTAATTGCAGAACAATTTTAGAAACCAGGGGTTGGTATTTGTTATTATTGGAAACCCCAGGTAGTGAATTTGTAATTTACCCTAAAAAAGAAACAAAACAATAACACAGCAACAAATAGAAGGGATTGAGGAATCGTCAGCTATGGTGCTAGAAATGATACTTTTTGTTCTTCTAAAATGGTCAAATGGATGCAATTTCCAGAATTCCAAGTGTCTTCGTAATCTGATGAGTTGGCAGCATGGCTGAAAAGTAAATTGTGGATTTGATGCTAGAGCCTATAACTCTTTCTATGCTGATCAAATGAAGGTTACCTGTCACCACTGGCTGTATTGAATGATTACAAATGGCTTTTACTGTTTACCAAAAGGTAACACCCAATCAATTTTCTTTTGTATCAGCAGCAGGAATCAAGATTTCTATGTATTTTACATAAAGGAGAAACCCCCAATATTCCACACTTCTGAATGAAGGGGAACAATACAAACAGCTAATGACCGACATACAAAACAAGATCACCATAAATTTACACATTAATTCCTGGGCCTGGTACTCGCAGTTCAGTTCTGTGGGCCAGCCTATCACCAATTGACAATTGCATTCCTCCACCAATCTATTCTTTTCCAGAGAATAGGCTAGTTTTAGGCCTTTGAACTGAGTAATAAACTCAGCCCTATGTATCTTCACCTGTTATACCTAGGTTGCTTCGCAATGTATTTCCAGTAGTCTCTAAAAATACCACCACCTACTTGAGAGGGGTCTGGGTTAACAAGGCAGCAGCTGTCAACATTCACTTTTATTCTTCCCTCCATTGCAAAAGCTTAGACCCTCTCAACATGGTCTTTTCCATCTCTCCTACCACAATCCCAATACTTTAACTGCAAAGATTGAATACCACATGGTCCACAACCCCAACCAACCAACCACTGCTACTAGGCAACAAAAAATTGAGAACTTCAATTTTCTTTTATTTTTTTCACTCCTTTATCTGAACAATTACAATTCATTCTTCACTCTTCTTAATTATTATCTCCATCTCCCCTCTCATCAATTCCCTCAAATATGGACTCTCTCTCTCTCTCTCTCAAATAATGCATTTGATGGTCAGATTATTAGCAACTTTCAGCATTTTGTAAGCTTAAAATAAGCCTCAATGACTTATTTATAAGTGATATCTAGTTTCTCTTTTCTCGGGTTCAGTTGGAGTTGGAAGGTGTTCAAATCGACAAGGAGATGAACATTAAGTATAAAGTGACATAGGACTCAGTGCTAAGAATTTAGATTGTCCAAGAACACTGAAGACAGAAGTTTTTTCCTGCAAATGCCTTGTACTGAAGACAGAACCGGGGTCATGGAGAGGATTTGCATTGGAAGATGCGTTACATTATTCAAAAGTTATTTTTAAATGCCTTGTACTTTTTTATGTTAATTGGATATTGTATTTAAGCAATTTGTTTTGGATATTATAATAATTAATAATTTTATTTTTTATTTTATTTTCAATTTGTATTTTTTTATTTAAATTGATTTTTATGCATTAATATCTGCCATGAGATTTGTATTAAACATGTACAAACAAAATGTTGAAATCAAATTGATATAAAAAATATAAAATAAAAAAAAACAAAGCCGGTGGTCATGCAACCGCCGCCTTAGACTTAAAAGCAATCTAAGCCGGCAGTCTAGACTGCCACCTAAAAGTGGACACAATGTTTCGACGGACCTAAGGTGGCGGTCCAAAGATATCTAAGTCGGCGGTCTAGACTGCCACCTAAAAATGGACACAATGTTTCGATTAGACTTGTTCATGGGCCGGGCCGGGCTCGGGTTGGGCTTTTACTTTTTATTAATGGAAATTTGTTAGGCCTGAGCCCGAGCCCGAAGCCCGAGGACTCACCGCCGGTGATTGTGTTTGCCGAAGTTGAGTTTGCGGTGACTGTGAGCTGCGACCTGCGATTTTAACAGTGATCAATTCACGTTTGAGAGAGAGAGAGAGAGAGAGAGGACTCATCGCCGGAGTTGTTGCGTCGGTGAACGTTCGTCGCTTCGCCGGTTGTGTGGCTGCCTGAGAGTGAGGACTGAGAATTGTGGAGGATGTGGAGAAGAAAGGTTCGGTTGGAAAAAGAGGTGAAAGAGCCAAAGAGGTGAAAGAAAGAGGGGTATTCGACTAGGGTTTTTAGCTTTAATTATAGGTCGGGCTATTTTGGCAAATCCCAAGCCTGGCTTGAATTTATTGTGGGTTGGGCTTTATGGCCCGAGATTAAGCCCACGAGCCCATTTGCGTGTTCAAGCCCGTCTGGGGGATAGGCCGGCCCGTCGGGCTACCCGACCCATGAATAGGTCTAGTTTCGACGGACCTAATGTGGCGGTCCAAAGATATCTAAGCCGGTGGTCTAGACGGCCACTTAAAAGCGGTCACAATGTTTCGACGAACTTAAGGCGACGGTCTAGCCTTTATTAAATCTGAGCCGGCGGTTCTGACATACCGCCGGTTTAGGAATGATTGAACTGCATCGGACCGGTCCTCAAAGGCGGCGGTCATTTTTGTCTAAGCCAGCAGTCTTGACCTAGGCCGGTAGAGGTTTAGGGGGCAGACACATGACCGCCACCTTACATCGGCGGTCTTTAGGCCAAAGCCGGCGGTCCTCTACCGTTTTCCTTGTAGTGTGGCTTCTAGTCTAGTAGATTTAGATGTGTATAAATAGCTGGGAATGAGTTCCTTTAGACAGTGACTAGGCCAGTTGTAGCTCATAATAAGAACAACATCCTTAGCAAATTTTCGGCATTACCATAGTAAAGAAACTTGTGTTTTGACAATATAAATCCCCAAACCTATGTTGTGTAAATGATTTTTGCCTTACACTTCCCATATTATTAGCATTCCTCTTCATATTATATACATATCATCAATTTTAATATTTATTTTTTGAGTATGTATTGGTTAAAGGAGGTGTTTGACAACATGGTTGGTTTGTTTTTGAAACAGAAAAAAGAAACAATTGCCATGTCAGCAAAAACAATTAAAAATATATATTTTTTTTTCATGTAAGAATACACAAATAATAAAAAAATACTTGAAAATAAAACCCAAGATAACGACAGCTCTAAACAATAAAAAAGCAGAGGCTCTAACTCACTTGAAAGCTCCTCATCACTTTTTCTTTCTTTAGCTTGTTAGAGATACTGAGGAAATAGATGAGAGCAAAGCTATGATGGGGTGGACTTATGAGAGGGGAATTTAACCTTTACCTCTCTTTATTCTTGTTGACAAGAAGCCTCAACGGAGTTGGATGCATTTGATGGTCTTTCCCTTCTTATTTTAACGATGAATATAATATTAAACAAATTGGGATAACAAAACAAGATTCATGTAGCCAATCCCATGTAGTTGGAAGAAGGCTTAGATGATGATGATGATGACAATAGTGAATAATGATGATGATGATGATGACAATAGTGAATAATGATGATGATTTGATTTTATGAGAATTTTTTTGGACTCCTAAAAAGATGGTTATTAACTTATGTTGGACTGAATGGATTATAGCCATTGATACCATCCTCAACGTATAAGGACTATTCATAGGTCAATAGGAATAACCATATGACCAATGGAGTATTTGCTCTATATAGACTAGAATGAACACACTATCAATACATTCTTCTTAAAAAAAAATTGTTTTGCTTTATCTCTTTTGAACTTGTCCATTAAGAGTAATTGTTGGTTGAGAAAAAGTCTCAACTACAATAATACGTGCCTCATCCAAGATAAAGAGGAAGTTCCCAATGTTCTAAGAGGAGGAATAGGGTTGCTCCTTATTTTTTTGGAGAACCCAATATACCGTACAACTTTCAAATGGAATATCTATAAATAGAGCTTCAAAAGTGACATACAAGAACCATGTAATGAAGATAAGCCTCTTGGGAAAATCTCTTAGCTAGTTATTCTCCTCATCTACATATCTATAAGATTAAAAGTTGGGTGAAAATAAGACTCACACTTGGGCTGTTGAAGAAGTTTGAGCCCCATGTTCAAGCTTGGCAAAAGTTCCCGGAGTTCTATCATCATCAACCTTCAACTTATTATTGTCTCTCTCAAAATATGAGAGAGAGAGAGAGAGAGAGAAAAGTTATAGTCTTATAGGTGCTAGATAAGGAATAAGAAAGCATACGGTTTTAATGTACAAATAATGAGTTATGAGTGTAGGTGGGTATATAAATGTTTCTAGGCCTAATAAGTCATATTTTTAAATTTATATTTAAAGCAATGTTTATGAGAATTAGACCACACATCAAACCAAAAAAAAGAGGTATGTTTTTTTAATTCAACTCAACTGTCTCGTTACCATTTACTTTAGATAAAAAAAAATACTTTATAGTAATGATGATCCTTTATAGTTTTCTATGATTCTAGATAGAAACAAGGTTGAACTCAGATCACCTAGCACCTAGCACCCAAACTTTAAATGCATTTTTAAACCACTAAGCCACACTATATCCTACTATAATAAATGAAATAAAATCCTTTATTAACTTTAGCGTCCACATGCAATTCAAGTAAAGAACACATATATATTTGTGTTTAACAACTCTAATTAAAAATAATCTATCAAATCCACATTTATATCAAAAGATGATTTTTAATCTCAAAAAATCTATACACATGAAATATTAACAATAGAATAATTATTTTAGTACTTAAAATTTATAAATTTTCACATGATATGTACCTTCGTTTTTTATATTTTTTAAAATCATTAATTAATATTTTAATTTACATTAATATCAATATATTTATTACTTACAAAAAATAAAATATTGTTTATAAAATATTCAAGAATATAATATTAAATTGAATTTATCAAACACACTAGTCTACATTTATTTCGAAAAATTTATAGAAATAAAATATTAATAATGGAATAATTGTTTTAGTAATTAAAAATTATGAATTTTCATATGCTATATATCTTATAAAATTTTAACAAATTTGATATATTTTAAGTTAAGATTATATATTTTTATAAAATATTAATTGATATTTTAATTTACATTTGAGAATTTAATATTTAGTTGAATTTTTTGTTGGTATTGAGTTGAAATAGTAAAATAAAAAATAATTGATATAATAATTAAAATATGGTAGATGCATATGCTTTGTGTATTGGACTCTTGATTGATGCATTATCAATAAAATTATTTGATATCTATGCATCCCGCTGTATTAATTATAATATATTTTTTATGAAATTTGTAAGCACTTCCCCAGTATATATAAGAGTTTATAATGTTATTAATGTATTTATGAAATTTATATGCATTTCTCTAGCATATCCAAGAGTTTTTATATTTTTTATCTTGTTCGTATCCATGCCTTTCCAAAGCACATAGTATCCTAGTTGTCTAATATGATACTTGATATTTGATACTTTGATCATTGGATAAAAAAAATTATAAATTATTAATATTTTTAAGGTGATAATGCTTATTTATGGATTTTCTATTGACCATAGCTCTAAAAAATCATAAATAGTATTTATTGCATACAAGTAGGCAGAACATTTTAGATGTAATTTGTCCAATGGATGCATGCAAAAGGGTAAATTTATTAAAAAAAACAAGCTCTTATTATTTATAATCTAGAACTATGTTCAAATCTTTTTTTTGCCTTTTGGAGATTGGAGTTGAGATTTTCAACTCCATGCAATTGCAATTATAGTAAGCTGAAAGGTCTGTTTTTTTATACCATGAAAAAAAAGCTAAAAAGGGAACCTAGATCTCCCCCCAACAAAAGAACCGTTATTCCAACACGGTTTTGTGTAAGCACATCTCATGCATGGTGGGCCCTAATCTTATGGTGGGATGGAGATCAGATGGGGAGATGTTCCAAATGCACGAGAGATGGGCTATGGGGAGCTCATCTTGTCTCGGTGGGATGTGGTGAGTTGTGTAGGCATAGATCATGTTGTAGCCATATTGGGATAGATATTTTTGGAGGACATCACAATTCACTGAAATGTATGTTTTAAGGGCTAAATGCTTTAAACCTTCCATTTGGTTTCCTTTTTCTCACTACTTCCTATTTTTGTATACAATGAGAGAATCATAACCAGCAAGGGAGTAACGTACTGGTAGAATTAAAAAAAAAAAAAAAATCTAAGGCTCAGTTTGGAAGCAGTATAAATGCAAATATGTACAGTGTAAATACATACAAAATATAAGGTTTTGCACTCTACATATTTGCATTTGTACTCCTTCCAAACTCAGCCTAAGGTCCCAAGGGTTTTCATCCACAGACTCTTGCTCTTTAATCAACCTTTTGTTTGCGAGCCAATCAACAACATTGTTTCCCTCCTTGTGCATGTGCCTATATAAAACTCTTACATGGCAGATATTGGTTATCCAATTGCACTCTTCGACAAGAGATCTACATGCCCATGGAACCTCAACTTTGCCTTGGAGCATGGAACCTCAGCTTTACCTTCAATCACGATCGACGAACAACTACATTGGGAGATAACCTGAAGGTAGGGGTGGCCACGAGTCAAGATTTTCACGAGTTATTTGAGCTCGACTCGGTTTAAACTGAGTTTCAAGTCGAGCTCGAGTCCAATTTATAGGCTCGTTTGCTAATCAGACCAATCTCAAGCTTAATAAAATTTGGTTCGTGAGGCTCATGAGCCTAATTGAGCTTTTACATACATACATACATACATACATAATAAATATAAAAATATTATACATATAGAAATTAATATAGATATAATAAAAATATTATATATAATATATATATATATATATTAACTAATTATTGTAATTCTTAATTTTTTAAATATCAAATGAAAAATAATTTTTTATTTTTATAAAACATTTGGCTCGTTTGCTAATTGAGCTAAGCTCGAGCCTAATAAAACTTGGCTCATGAGGCTCGTGAGCCTAATTGAGCTTTTACATACATACATACATACATACATAATAAATATAAAAATATTATACATATAGAAAATAATATATAATAAAAGTTGTTATATATATAATATTTTTATTTATATAATAATAATAATAATAACTAATCATTGTAAATCTTAGTTATGTATGTATGTATGCATGTATGTATGTGGTCTCTCTCTTTATCTTGACCCCAGAAAGGACAAGCCCCTTTCAAATAGTTGTTCTTAGTTGGAATCTTATTTAGGATTAGGAGCCATGTAAATATTTTGATTTTCTTCGAACACATTAACTTCCTTGCATTTTGTAGTATTCGAAGGGCGTTTAGGTTCATAGTGGTGTTTTCTCTTAATAAATTATATGCTGATTTAATATTCAATTCCCCTTTGGGTTAAGATTCCACATTAACACATCTTCTTCCCTAACACACTTTAAGTAGCCTTTGTTAGAATTTCTTTTCATTATGCATAGTGTAAATTCATGTAATATGCAATGCAGGGTAAAGATATGAATTAACATCAGGATAAAGATATGAATTAACATTATATAATCAAATTTAACTTTGATTGGATAAGACAGGACTATAGACCTTTTTTTTATCATGTAATCCTTGTTTTGTTGTTTATTTAGTAATACATCTTCTTTTGTTAAATACATCAAATTTAACTTTTTATGGGTTTGCACCAAAACCAAGGCAAGTCTTGGTTTTATATAATATTAATTAGTGTAAAAACATGTTTTATACATGTATGCAACTAAATATTAATCATATATATATATTATATTTAGATTTAACTTTTATAATTTACACAGAACCCAAGACAAAGGATTGTAGATGTAGTATATGGATATAGATAAAGAGATATAGTAACTTTTTTACTATATCTCTTTATTATTGTTACTTATTCTATATCCATATACTAGCTAAGTGCCATTAGGCACCAATGTAAAATTGAAAATTCTCCCTTGGAGCAAGATATCCAAAAAATTAATTGAGCTTGTGGGGGTATTGTCTTTAATTAAAGATCAAGACTGTTTGGTTTGCATCATAATCTATCAAGCTGTCAAAAATAATTGGGAAAGCTATTTTCAATGCGTAAAGATCAAAAGCTTCATTGATACCAAATGGAAAAAAAAATGTCGTTTTCATTCTTTTGAACAGACCAAAAGGCAGTGCCAAACACCATCTAAGACACACAAGTACAACTGTTGCAATAGTAGTTTTGTTAAAAATGGTCCAAGTGGGTTCGGTTTTGTTGTAAGAGACCATAATTAATGGTTCCTTGTTGTTTGGTTATCAAAATCCCCTGAATATGCTGAACTATATGCAATTCGTGAGTGCTATGTTTTGGCTGTTGAACTTGGGCTTCTATCTGACTATTGAAAGTGATTCAAAGTCTATAGTGAATATATGCCAATTCACAGTAAATCATTTGATCTCTCTGTTGATGCTTGGCATTTGTTACGGGATATCTTTAAGGAAAAATTTCTGATTAGTACCTTGTACTTTGGGCCTAGTGCCACTTTGGTTCCCGAACTTTAAAACATGACAATTCAGTACCCGAACTTTTAAAATGTGTCAATTCAGTACCTGTCATTAACCAATCCATTAAGCAGCCATTCAGTGACATTTGAAAAGATACAAATGCCCTTTAAGTGTTATCTAATTTTTTTTTATCAACCATCCATATGTTGATAACAAATGAATAGTCTCAAATCCTTGCCTCAAATATTAAAAAAAGTTGGAGTTATGTCTCAGTGGGCATTTTGGTGACCCCAACTTTCTTGAACAGAAGAGGCAAGGATTTGTGACTATTCATTTGTTGTCAACGTTTGGATGGTTGATAAAGAGAATTAGATGACACTTGAAGGGTATTTGTGTCTTTTCAAATGACACATAACGTCTGGTTAATGGCAAGTACTAGATTGGCACATTTTGAAAGTTTGGATGCTAAATTGTCACGTTTTAAAGTTCGGGGACCAAAATGGCACTAGACCCAAAGTACAGGGTACTAATCCGGAATTTTCTCTATCTTTAATCTGAGTAGTGGTAATTAAGTTTAACTTGTAGGTTGTTAACTCTTACATCAAAAGGTTTGTTGGGTCTTTCAGGTTCTTGGGCTTCTCCTCCGAATACAAATGATCAGACTCCTTACCGTAAAATGTATGTGTTTTTTAATTGGGATTTGCTACTCACACCTACCTCACATCTCTTGCCCACAAGAATACCCACAACAAATTACCTCTATGCATTGGAAACATTTCCTCATGCATAATACCATGTAGGTGGATAAGATGTTTTCCATGTGTGGCTGCCATATTATGTGGGTAGATGTGGGCAGGAGATCAGGGACTCTTTGTGAGAAGTTGATTTGAACTTGTGTTTTTCATAGAATGGAGGGGTAAGGATCTACTACCAATAAAACACTCCCAACACTGTCCCAACATGCCATTACAGCTATACATTGAGAATATCTCTCTTGTCATTCATGAAGAGATATTCTTGATGTATGAATGATTGGTTGGGATGTTGTTGGGACCAAGGTTCAAAAAATTGGCATGAACCTGTCCATATCGGTCGATATGTATCGTATCGGGAGCACCCCGATATACCCTTATAGAGGGTGTATCGAGGTTTTGACCGATTCAAAGGATGGAGGAACCTTAAACCGGCCCCTGAATCGAATTTGAAAAAAATAAAAAAAAAGTACCAATACTGCCGGATACATCCCTACTGTGTATTGGGCATATTGATATTTAGAACCTTGGTTGGGACTGTGTAATGGTAACCGGTCCGAACTCTGAACAGAGGATTCTACAAAAACGGGGGTAATATATCCCAAAAATCAGAAAAGACAACAAGAGAAAGAGGTAAAAGAAGATAAGAAACATCCACACATACAAGAAATGTCATTTTAATCACAATAAAATTGGCCCACTGTAGCCACACGTTAGGAACATCTCCCTTATCGTCATGGAGAGATGTTCCCGACTGCAATGGTTGGTTGGAATAATGTTGGAAGCTGAGATTTATGGTGTTGGATTATATTGCTAGAGTATTGCTGGATCACCTGCTAACAAAATACATTCCAACAACTTATCAACGTTATCTAACACCGCACATCTCGTACCTGCGTGTTAGAGAAAATTGATAGGGTGTTGGAACGTGTTTGCTGGCATGACATCCCAACTCTCCTACAATTAGGAAAGATAATGAAAAAAAAGGCAAAGGAGACAAAAAAAACGTCCCAACCAGATAAAGAAAAGCCAGTTTTAATCATAAAATGTTGGCCCACGTAAAGAATAAGGTGGTATTTTATATATAAAATAACATAAATATTTCTTTCATCATTGAGCTTGGATTCAAGGAAAAATCTCTGGCTCTCAGACTGGAATTATCTCCGAAGAGAATATGTTGAAGCTCCGATCCAGGTGGGTTTAGGATTCCGCTATACTTTTCCTTCTACTGGTTCTTGTTCTTGGTTCCTTTTGGTATTTATGTTGAATATTTTCTTTGATATCTGGATAAATGAAAGGAAACTACTTTGATTTAGTGAGACATGAGCAGATGTTTTTAGTTCTCCAGCTTCTATGAAAGCTCAATCATACATGTACAAGAGAGAATTGATCTTCTTCCTCTTTCCTTCTGCTCGAACTGTTTACTTACTTGAAGCTTGTATCTGTCTTACGTTGTTGGAACGTGGAAGAGTAGAAATTTCTTCAATCTAAGAAATCTGGCTGCTGAGAGCATCAAAAGAGGTTTCTCGACGCAGTCAGGAAGGTTTGTTCATCGGATACTCCAACCACTCCGTTTTTATAATTTATTTTCTTTTGTCTCCGAACACCTGCCCAGGCTGGAATGGCACCCACCGACCGCCGGCACCTCCCTATAGTCTACAACCGTTGGATTGGGACCTTTCAATCGTATCTATCGATCGCAGTCTGTGCAGTGTAGCCGGCGGGTGCCCCCAGGTAGAACCGTGCAGGGCGGACCCCGACATGCAGATTCCACCTGAAATGCGTGGGGAAGACCGAAATTTCTAAGCTGATTGTGATGGTGGGCAGTCAGTCCATTCACCTCTTCATGCCGTTGATCTGACGCGTTCAGTGTCACAGCAGGTTGGAAGGCAAGGTTGCATTGATCACCGGAGCAGCGAGAGGCATTGGAAAGGCAACGGCGACAGAATTCATAAAAAATGGGGCCAAAGTAGTGATCGCGGACATCCGACGCCAACTTGGCCAAGATGCAGCAGTGGAGCTTGGACCCAACGCGACCTTCGTCTCTTGCGATGTTACCCGAGAATCGGATATCTCCGATGCCGTGGATTTTACCATCTCAAAACACGGTTGTCTTGACATCATGTACAACAATGCCGGGATCGCCGGGAACACTCCTCCCAGCATCGTAGACCTCGACATGACGGAATTTGACCGGATCATGAGCATCAATGTACGGGGCGTTGTCGCCGGGATAAAGCACGCAGCTCGAGTCATGATACCTCGCCGTTCTGGCTGCATCCTTTGCACCGGGAGCGTCACGGCGTTGATGGGTGGGTTGTCGCCACCCTCATACTCCATTTCTAAGGGCGCCGTCGTTGGGATCGTCAAATCAGTTGCGTCCGAGATGTGCAAGTATGGCATTCGGGTTAATTGCATCTCGCCGTTCGCCATTCCGACCCCGTTTGTGATGGAAGAAATGGTCAAGATGTTTCCCGGCGTTGATGAACAGCGCCTTGTGGAGATGGTTCAGGGTCCCGGAGAGTTGGCCGGGGCCAACTGTGAAGCTGAAGACATTGCAAATGCCGCACTGTACCTTGCCTCTGATGATGCCAAATACGTGAGCGGCCATAATCTGGTGGTGGATGGAGGCTTCACCTCCATCAAGAGACTTGGGTTCCCGGAACCGGATCAAGTGAAGTGAAATCTGGTCGTTTAATTGACAGGTTGTGTGACCGATTGTAGCTGTTTGGGTAGATTCAAATGAATGAACAAAACATTTCAACTGTCAGCCAGCAATATTACTTGCTAGATGCTACAACCCGTTCAGGAGAGCTTCTTGGTTTGGATTGGGCTGTTACAAAGAAGTGGTTCATGTTGAGCATCTGCATTTCAGATAAGCTACTCGCAGTGGATTCATGTATATTACTCACTCAAGTGGCGTTCAGAACACTGATTTGGGCTTTCCGTATTTTCAACAAGCACAGCTTCTGCACTTAAACATTGTGTTAATTGAGCTGCAGTGGAGAAACTTCTCCGAGTAGCTTCATATTTGAGCAGTGGTGGTTTGGGCGTTCAGAAAACACAGTTTCTGGCATTCCTACAAAGGGCCCAGCTCGGTATGCCAGAAGCCGCATCTTGAAAGCCCTCCCAAACGGGCACTATATCAATATTGCTTTAGGGACGCCCAAACAGCTGAACTTCAGCATCTGTAATTCATACCTAGTTAGTAGATGTGGATCACATGACAACGAGACGGACACCATAGTTTCATAGAATGAAGTGGTTACAGATCTAATTGGTTCTCCTTTCGATAACAACAATGAAACGGGCTCATTTCCCAAACATTATTTCATAAGATGATATGAAAAATGGTCATTCCCCAAATAATAACTGAAATGATAAATTGGATGGTACAACAAAATAAACAGTTCTTGTACAACCAGAAATCAAGTTAGGCAACTGCAACTTGAATAGGGGTGTGCTGCAGGCTCGTAATGGGTAAAACAAACAGAACTCCTTCAGGCATATGTTGCCATGATTTCTCTAAATAGTTGCTTCGGTGCTGCAATTGGACAGAGAGAAAATACAAGAATAAGGGTGTGTACCAAAAGAAAGAAAACATAAGGCAGGATAGATAGAGAAAGCTCCTAAGAAAATTTTAGGCTTATAGCAGGGTTTTCTTATCCATCTTACCAGGCAACCCAGTGAATTTTTCATATTGTTCATATGCCTGCCTGATGAACATCTCCAGCCCAGTAACAATAGTTACTCCAGATTCTTCTGCTTCCCGTAGGAGCCTGGTGATTTTTGGTGTGTAAACAGCATCAAAAACTAGGGAGTAGGAGCTCAGAGCTTTCTGCAAAAAAAAACAGAACGTCATTTACTTCTTTATCACAAACTGGAGGATAGAATCCCTTCCTTGTGTAAAGAAATTACATGTTTTCCAATAAGAGGGTAACCTCTATAACCAAAGATACACTACAAGGTAAAATGATTTTATTTTTGTTAAAACTGTTTTTTCAATGTTTTCTAGGCCTTGAAGACCGTTCCATGTTGAAGTAGGAAGGATGAGAATTTATCTTAATCATGGATGGTAGAAACCAATCCCTTCAAATAAACTCCCTTTTCTGTTTTAGTTATAAGTAGATGCAGGAAAAAGGAAAAAAGTTGAATTAAAATCAGTACCAATGATGAAACATGATGTATCATGGAAAAGATATGTTTGGTGTGGGGGCAACCTTAGGTATAGGTGTCTCGTCAACTTTTGGCTGCATTCCAATAGATGTTGTATTTGCAAGGATCATCCCATTCTCTGGATGGAAATCACCTAGTTCATCAAGAGACAAGGCATCTCCTCCAACCATATCAGCAAGTTCTTTGGCTCGACCTTTCAATCAGAAGGATAAAGAATAATGAGTCATGACAAGAACTATCATGCTATGTAATTTGAAGCATAGAATTAGAGACCCATTAGAACGTTACATCTAGCAACATTTGAAAAAAGCTAATACTTGGCACTTAAGTATTATATATCACATAGAAAGAAATTTATTTTTGAAGAATATTGCTTCATAATGCTTCTAAATTAAGAACATTCTAAAACCACATTTTGTAATAAAAATGACGTTCAATATGTACATTAGCAGTTCGTTCATTTATGTCAAATAAACAATGAGAGAGAAAAAAGTCACATAGAATTGTTTCCCAAGAATTCATGGAGTTATCTGCCAAAGACGAATCCTTTCAGTAGCAATGTTGTCAAAAAATCTTGCGCTTTACGACATGACTCACACTTTGAATCATGAATCTTAAGGGTTTCGATTTGAATCTTATATATGAATTCTTTTCTCCAAAAATGTTATGATTTTTGTTTGATTCCTACAATTTGATTCATAAATCTTACAATTTATAGGACTCCTACGATCCACTATTCAAATAAACTTAATTAAGAATTAGTTCTCTAGTTTGTCATTCTTTGGTTTGTATTTACTTTTATCCAAGGAGACTTGTTTTATAGCCCTTACTAGAAAATGATTATTTATGTCATTTAAGACTATTGAGTTTATTTTTCATCATATGTAAGTTAAATAGCCATTGCTTGCAGATTATTTGAATTTGGAGTCAAACTTGGTTATATCATCTTAGGCTTCTATTGTACATGGTAAATTCTACTGCTTTAGGTACATATATGGTAGATATGGATTAAAAATGGGTAAAATCATTTTCCTACATACATACCTATGGCAAATATGGTAGATATGGAAAATCTCTAGTCAGCTGAAGCTAGAAATGGACTATTTTTAGTCAAATATTTCTACAAGGTTTTGTGAAGGTCAATTGGAGAAAATGTAGAATTTTAAGGCATCTGAGGAAACCCTATCCCCCCAAGGGTGGAAGCTTTTGCTTGGGTAGTGGCAATAGATGGCATTTTGACATTAAACCATCTTCAAAACAGAGGTTTTCACCTAGCTAGCAGATGCTACCTCTGTGAGAATGCTGAGGAGAATGTCTATCATTTGCTTGTTGACTGTCTCTTCTCCAAGTTCATTTGGGGCCTTTTCTTTGGGCTCTTCAAGTCTGATAGGTGGTCTCCCAATTCTGTGGAGGAGATTTTCTCCAAGTGGCCAATGGTAAGGGGAAATGTCAAGGCAAAGATTGCCCGTAGCTGCATTCCTTTTGCTGTTTGTTAGGAAGTCTGGAAAGAAAGAAATAGAAGAATATTTGAAGAGAAGGCTTTGATCAAGGGGGCATATCACATTACCATGTGAGAAAAGAATTATGAACTAGGTTCTCATTTCCAGAGTTGGAAGGAGTCACAAAAGAAGACCTTGGTTCTGATTTTTTAAACATTCTGGAGTTGGCTTAAATGCTTAATAGTTTCCCTTTTGTTTGGTTTATGTATTTCTCTTTTCTTCTTTTCAACGTCTCCTCTATGTTTTGTTTCACTCTCCTTGTAGCTTTTTTTTTCTAGTGATATCTCATCACTATCAGATGCACTTCTCTATTATTAATAAATTTTCTTTTTTATTTATTACAAAAAATATGTACTTTTATTATATTTATATTTAATTTTTTAACAAATTTGTAAATTTACGATATGATTCATGATTCAATTCAATTCAACTTTCTGTACGATTTACGATATGATTACGATTTTTAGAACATTGTTCAGTAGTATTGGCCATTTACCCCCCTTCCCTTAACATTTTCTCAAGTGGTCATGCTAGAGGCATAAACATCATAGATAACTGAGATAAGATGATAATCTTCCATGAAGTGAAAAATATCTAAGACAGTGAAAGCATACTTAAATGTTTATACTTAAAGTCTAATTTGCCAGATTGAGCTGTTTGTATATATGCACTTGCCCTATATTCTGTATCTAGATGTATGATCCTTTTCTATTATTATTATTATTATTGTTATTATTATTATTATTATTATTATTATTATTACACTTTTTATTACTGATAAAAGAAGAAAAGAAAGTTGACATGAGAGCTTCAATCAAATTACAACTTCACCTTCCTTAAGAAATCAGGATGGGAGGATCTAGGATCTCCAAAAATCATTCATAGATACACCATTGAATTCCTTGGTTGCTAGGGCCCATGAATTGGCAAGGGAAGATCCAATCCATTGGAATTTCAAAGGGGGTTGCTTTGTGTGCCAATCCCAACAATCTCAAGAAAAATTGCCATAGCTTCCTTGTTATCATGCCATAAAAGAAAAAAAGCTACTAACAAATTTCCTTTCCATGTATGTATATATATTCATGTATAAATCCACAGGTTCCCTTTTCTTTTCCCTTTAAATTGTCACAAGAGTTGATTTTTATGCATGCAGCTTCCCACACAAAGAAGTAACTTTGGGATGAAGAGAAGGAAACAGAGTTTCTTAACTGGAAACAACACCATTTGAAAGGTCAATGACGATGTGACTCAGAAGTAGAGAAACAGCAAGAAGGATGGCAGCACGAAAAGAAATGTATATCTCTTCAAGTGTCAAAGAGGGAGGCAACTTCCTCAAGCTTGACAGTCAAAAAATTTAGTTGTATATAACAAAATAACAATGTCATATCAGAGAACACTAAGAATAAACAGAATGGGGGTAATCAATCTTTGTACCATAATGTGGAGTTAGGTACACATTGCTAGCCTAACAAGCACTTTGCACACTGCACATATCATTCTTTTGTCATAACTAATAAAGTTTCAAAGTCATTATTTCAGGGAATGCTAAAAGAAAATAAGGCACACAAACTCTTACTGTAAGTGCGATTGGCAATTACAACTCTTGCTCCCTTTTCTTTTGCACCATAGGCAAGTGCCTTACCAGCACCGCCTGCTCCAATGACTATGAAGAGTTTTCCAGCTAAAGGTGAAGCAATTGTATTGTGCATATCATGTAAACCTGCAAAAAGAAAAGAGTGAGCTCCAAAACACCTTCAAACAAAACATTTTAAAAAAAGCCTTGATAATGTACACATGTTAAAAACCTCTTAGTCCATCCTCAATAGCTGAAATAGCACCAGCATAGTCAGTATTGTAACCAGATAATTTTCCATCATTTGATCTCCTAATAATCGTATTAACAGCTCCTATGGACTGCAAGGTTTGATAAAGAAGATAAACCAGTTGGACATGATTTTAGAAAGACAAAACAGATTTGCCATTAAGATTGAATCAATTTGAACAAGCTACTGATAGTTTACCAAAAAATCTATAAGCTCAAAAGATCAATTACCTTGGCAACTGGATGAACCTCATCACAGCGTTTAAGTGCATCTTCTTTGTGAGGAATTGTACAACTGCAATTCAAAATAAAGTATTATCTTCAAAAGCAAGTCCATCGTGTGAGTATAGATAATGAAATATGTGCATCATGTAAAATACATATAAAATGAAGTAACAGAACCCAAGCCAAATACCTCAGTTACTTGAATTAATAACCCATCAGAAAAGCTACAGTGTCAAAACCAAAACAATCCACCAAGGTCGGGATTGTGCCAAAGGAAGCCTAACTCCTAAAAAATTCACCCCCCCCAAAAAAAAGTAAAGAAGAAATTACTATGAATTTGTGAACTATAATTCATATTAAGGTCTTTGGTGTGAGGATATTGGACCTGAATCCGAAAAAATCAGGGGAAGAGTAGACATCAAAAAATTTTGCAACATCATCTACCAATAAGGGCATATAAACACCGTTAAAACTGGCCGCCTTAAATGCTGCATTGAACAGAAAAGGCCCTTTGCTGTGACTCACAGGCTTCCCAAGAAGTCCATATATTTTTGTATCAGGTCCCAACTGTCTGAAGTTGTATAAGTCCAACAAATCTTTGATTGTTGGCTGCCCAGGAGCTGATATTTTTCCAGCCTCAAGTGTACCAAAAGTGAGATATCCACCAAACTTGGGGCAAAGTATCCGTGACATCAAACCTCTTTCGCCCATAACCAGCCCTATTATTGGAACCTGAAATTTCAATGTTGTGTCATACTGGAAAAGAACTTTAATAATGTAAATTGGCATATAAATATGCCAAGAAGTTTAATTGGATCTTCAAGAGAAACACAGAAATCATATAGATCTGTACCTTCTATCATTAATAAATTTTCTTCAAAAGAAACACAGAAATCGTAAGTTCTGTGGTTCCATAGAAGTTGTAGTGAAGACTTACAGTAGAACATATATATTTTTTTGTTTAAAAAATAAATGTTGCAAACCAAATCACTGTTATAGACAAAAACGAATCAACAATAATGCAACTAGATTTTACACAACAATCTAAGTAGTGTTGCATGGGAATGTATAAAGGGATCAGAATTCAACATGTGTCCAGGAGTTTGATTTGGTACGTCAAAAAGGACTCAACAGGCATGTCTATAGAAAAGTATAAACTATCAAAATAGTCCTTACTTCTTTTCAATTAGAACATTATAAACCCATAGAAAAAGGTCAAAAATCACTATTATTTAATAAAGTTTTATAGGAAAATAGTATCCATTGTGTGCATTAGGAATCAATGTACTGTCAGAATGTACATATGTCCAACATGGCACTTCATCCATTTAGGAGTCCATGCAACACTGAATCCAAGTCTTGAGCAGATTTCTGCAATAGGCCATGTTGACAGTTGTTTATGTACTCAGGTTTAGTACCACAAGGGTACTGTTGTAATTTCTCTCCTGTTTATATTGTACGACTGGACCAGTATAAATAATAATTCTTTCATTCGCCCCCAATGTTCTGGAGGGCTTTCAGTCCACTCGACTCACCTCTCTTCTCTCTTCTCCTCTCCTCTCTTCTCTTGCTCTTGCTCAACATGGTATCAGAGCAAGTCGTCCAGGCCTGAAGGGTGGTGTCAAGAAAACTGCTGTAGCATCCAGTTCGACCCAGGAGTTATAGTGACTTTTTATCTCCCAGAGCTGTCTCCAATCGAACTCCTAATCTGGTGTAATCAGTTCGACCCAGAAGTTACAGAGTTTTTTCATCTTCCAGCCCAAAAATTGCACCTCTTGTCTGCTCGACTGTAGAGAGACTATTGTTTGAGGTTTGTAGAGGGTGTTCTGTTTTTCAGAAAGACTATCATCTGAAACTAAAAGAGGTACTAGTCATCTTCTGTTCGGCTGCCTATTGTTTGAGGTTCGTAGAAGGAGTTCTGGCTTACAGGGAGACTATCATCTGAAACTAAAAGAGGTACTATCATCCTTGTCTGTTCGGCTGCCTATTGTTTGATGAACTGTTCAGCTGCCCTACTGTTGTCTGTTCGATTGCCTATTGTTTGATGAACTGTTCGGCTGCCCTACTGTTGTCTGTTCAGCTGCCTATTGTTTGATGAACTGTTCGGCTGCCCTACTGTTGAGTGCCTGTATCCTTAACAAAGTAACTGTATTCAACTCTTTTCTTGGTATTGTGGACTGTTGATTGTCTGTTCAGCCGATTGATTGTCTGCTCAATATTAATCTTATTGATTGACTATTCAGCTACCCTGTTGATCTCCTCGACTGGTTGGCTATCAGGCCTACTAATTAGGTCATTCAGACCTGTTCTTGTACTGCAACAGCAGTGTTCAGACTTGTTTCAGTGAAACCGTAGGTCAGAAGGACCTGTTTCAGTACTGCAACAGCAGTGTTCAGTTT